CCAGAGAGGCCATGAAAACACTCCAAGGGATGGAGAACCTCTCCTACAAAGACAGGCTGAGACTTCAGTATTTAAAAGAGCCCTACAAGAGAGCTGGAGAAGGACTCTTCACAAGGGCATGGAGTGATAGGACAAGGAATAATGGCGTTAAATTGGAAGACAGCAGGTTTAGATCAGATACTGGGAAGAATTAAGAAGTGAGGGTAGTGAGACACTGCCCAGAGAAGCTGTGGATGCCTCATCCCAGGAACTTGCAGTTTATCTCGGTGTGGGCATGAAAATGTTGCTCTTCTGTGGTTAGAGGAAGATACAGTAGGCATGAATTAGAAAAGCAATAGAGTTCTGTTTACAAGGGGAATGCACATTTATGACCCCAAATATACTAGGGAGAAAAATCTATTGCAGAAATAATAGTACAATTCAATTCTATTTCAATTACTAAATTTTAAAACATCATGTCGTGGCTTTAACAATAATAACGTTAACGACGATTTGCACCAGTTTTTGAAGAACTCAAGGCAGATAAAAAGTTTAGAAATGCCCAAGTGTCCTTTTTAATGCTCTGTTTACCTATTTGGTCCAAACTGCAAAACTCATTCTGATTAAACCCTTGAATCTTACAATTCAGAGAGTTAGGCACTCCATGTGCACTGTAGGACCTAATCAGTTCTGTAACCTGTTCATGATTTTTTTCTTTACACCTTACACACTAGAAGCTAGACAGCAACAGCTACAGCTGTTTTTCCTGGTGAAGACAAAAACCCCATGATATAATCATTATAATGCTATAGTAATTATAATAATATATATAATAATGGTAAGACTATATAATTCCAGATGAATACACCTGGTTTTAGAGGTACTAATGAACCTTTATCTGCTTCCCCCTAGGATCTCCTATGATCCCACGAGGTACCCCAAGTACATTCCCGAAGCCTACTGCCTGTGCAAAGGCTGCCTGATGGGGCTCTTTGGCGAGGAGAGCCTGCAGTTCCGCAGCACGCCGGTGTTCATGCCCACCGTCATCCTGCGCCGCACGCCCGCCTGCGCCGGCGGCCGCTACGTCTACACCGAGGATTACATCACTATCCCCGTGGGCTGCACCTGCGTCCCCGAGCAGGAAAAGGAGGCAGAGAGCCTCAATTCCAGCATCGATAAGCAAGAAGTGAAGTTGCTGGTGGGCCAGAACAAGCCCTCATCGGAATGAAGAATGGATTCAAAGTCATGTTTCAGTACTGGCCTCACATCATCACCTCACCACCTCAGGAAACTGCACCGCAGCAGCAAACACACTCACTCACCCTCCTTTTCTGCTTAGTTATTTCAGACATAAGATGGAAAGTCCAGTCACTCAGATCATTAGAGACGGCAATTAATTCTATTTCTTTAGCTCATGTAAACTTGTTTAGTTCATTATTGCAAACTCCAAAGTAGCTTTTTTTTTTCCCTTAGAGAAGAACAGAATTTTGTCTTTGCTTATTCACAGCAAATGTTAGAAGATGATGTAACTGTAAGACATGGTGGCTATTACTATAGCAGGCTACTGGTTGTAGATATTTTTGAGGAATCCATTATATTCTTTTAAGTACACTTGTATAAAAATCACACAGCTACCCTACATGTGACAAATCAGCAGTTAAAAGGATAATTTCTCCAGCTGGGAGAGCCTCCCTTTATACTGCATAAGCTCCATGCTTTGCCTCTGAGCTGTTACCTCTTTGGCTAATTTATACACTACAGCAAGGAAACCTTTGCTGAGTTGGAGTCATTCATGAAGCAATATTCTATGTGCTTGCTATTTTTAAACTTGCCAAATTGCTAAGGGTACAAAGGTGTTGAAAAAAAACATGCTAGAATACTGTAAAAATGCAGCAGACTTTCTTTATGTGGACTATGTCTAATTACAAAGAAAATATCAATTAGGAAAAACACAGTTTGTGTCCCAAGAATTCTGTATTTGACTTCATCCATCACTGACTGCTTAACTTCCTTGTGATAAAACTGTGTTCCATGCAGCTGAAAGGCCCAAACCTTTCTCATTTTAGGAGAGGAGATTCCCGATTAAAAAGTAAGTACCTTGGATCAGCTTTACTTCAGGTGTGTTGCAGGTGAGTAAGCAGGCTAGGTCTTAACTTCCAGATCCTACAAGAGGTCATCGAGTTGAGTCCCAGCCAATCCAAAGCTGTTAAATCCAACTGATTTTTACAATTACTGTTACTCATTTCTCCTTATGCTACATGTAACAGATGATCACCACCTGCAAAAGCTGACCAGGCAGCCTTCCATCTGTGCAGCCTACTGCTGATGGAACTTGGTGGCAGGCTCTCACCAGAAACCCTGCGTACACAAAAACTTGCATTTCCAGAACAAGAGACTGAAGTTGACTCAGCCTAATGAATGAGAATCAGGAATGACCAGGCATGCCTCGCACAAATGTAATTCCTCAGAGGGCCACACTCACCAAAACAGATAAACTTCTGAATGCACAGCAGAGAATCTCTTTAACAGATGAAGGATCATGACTGCAATATCTTTACAGAATGAACATCATATGCAGCAATGTGTCTGTTACATCATGAATCTTGAAATTTGCCTTAATTCACAGCAGAAAAAGCCCCTACATTACATAAACACACTCTTCTTTGGAGTGTTGTTGGATGAAGAATGGAAAGACTATGAGCTAATCACAATTAACAAGTTGAAGACAGAATGAAAGTCATAGGACAACTCCATCATTATTGATTGTGCTCTCTCTGACTCAGTCTAGAGATATAACAATATTTTTATAGCGCAATCTGTGAAACCTCTTACAAAGCCTAAAATAACTTTAAGAACTCCAGAAACAAATAAAGATTCCCATCACAATGCCAGATTAAAGGTTGTAGCTGTGTTTTTTGTGCAGATGCTTTTCCTCAATTTTCCTCGTCTTTAGATCTGTGTTTCCTCCAATTGTGATGCTTCTATCTCAAGGGGATTGTCAAAGGGATTCTGAGTTCAGAGATGCTCATAAAATGTTTATACTACTCAGAGAACAGCTAATTGCCTGGCTGCTGCCAGCAATTATAGGCAGTTACCTTTTCCCCAGAGAATGAAAATACTTGCAGCAGTTACAACCTCTTTTCCTTCCTTCTAATGTGGAGGAACTTCTCACCCTCTGAGCAGAGGGAAGTGGTAATCAGAGGGGCTCAAAAGGGAGGCTGACCCACAAAACTGTAGAAACACTACTCTAGGTGATGTCTCAGTAGCCTGATCCCTTCCAGCTTCACCATTAGATTGTGAGGTTTTCTCCATATGTACACTTCAGGCAGTGTGAAGTTGAACCTTCAGACTCCACAGCATAGAAAGCAAAGTCTTCACCCTAAGAGGCAATAAAATGACCCCAAACAACAGCAAAATGTCCAACCATGCAGCACTTAGCTGGTAGCCCCTCTGGATATCTACTAAATGTTAAGTCTGGCCAAACACTGCCCTCCAGCAGAACTCATTGTCTGCACTTTTGTTATACAAATTTATCTGCAACAAATTAGTTATTAGAGAACATGGATATCTATTTGCATTATGTGGAGAAAAAAAAAATCTCTTTTTTTTATGGCAACTCTCTTGTCCTCCAGACATAAATTGTGGAGTAATTTTGAGGTTTTCAAGTAACTAGAGCATGTTCGGGGAATTCCTGAGAGGTGTAAGCTAAAATCAGGTAAATGGAACATAATCAATTTCTCCACTCCAGAAAAGTAGATGCTTTAGCTTATAGAGAGCTTCAGAAAGTGGATGATTGAAGGTACTTGAGAACTGCAAAACCTCCATGGATCAATAGAGGGTTTGTGTTGGTGACCTCCTTCTCATCACACTGCAGCAAGAGCAGCAAGCTTCCATGGCTCAGGCATCTTTACGCTATTCTGTTCAGAAGCACATTTTCCCTTCTTAATCCTCCTTTTCCTCTGTGACAGACTTTTTAGCTGAGCCAATTTGCTTCCTGATTCAGCTTTCCAGTTAGGTGTTTCTTAAAAAGCTGTTTATGTTTCAGCAAGAGCAACTGTTTGATATTTTGTTAGTGAGCAACTGTTTGTTAATACTTAACATCAAGAGCTATTAGCTACACAAACACTTGCTGGCCTTCAAAATATCCTTCCACATATCCTTTCTCTCCACATTACTCATGTGGGAAAGGTTGAGTGTTAAATGTAGTTTGCATTTGTTTGGAATTGGTTTTTTTTAACAAGGTCATCACATCATGGATTTATATCAGTTTCATTTCAAATGTGGTGAGACATTTTCCAGCTTCCAGCCCTCTGGTACAGCTGCCACAGCCTTGCCTTTAATTTGCACGGGGGAGGGAGTGTTCATTGGAGTTGCTTCAAGGCTTCACAAACTGTTGACAGAAGGAAGACATGAAATGCCTCACTGAACCAACTCCAGGCCCAATAAATGCAAACAATTCAAAGCTAGAACTATCTGGCAGCTGCAGCTGATTTGAGAATTTTTTTTGTTGTGCCAGGAAAATCTTTTCCTTCAACAAGGTTGTCCCTGGAATACATTAGGAGCCACAAAACACAGAACAATATCCTTGGTAATGAGATTATTTTCTTGTCTGTAGTATCGCTTAAGGTAGTTTGGAAAATTCCTATCATTCAGGAAGGCTGAGGAAAGCCTGAGATGCTAGTTTGGGTTTACTTGCCAGTCATCACCTGAAGGTGTCTGTCTGAATGGGTGAAGATCTACAGCTACACATAAACATGGAATTGCGTGGGGGAACATGAACGTGAAAGCAGCAGGAGCAAAAGGGAAAAAGGCTATGATGTGCTCAGAAAGTATAAACACCCATTAATCCTGCTGGCATGAGGGAACAGCCATAACTGCCTGGGTAGGGTAGTTAAAGAGGCTGTAGCACATAAGACTGTGCAGTCATAAATGCCACTGGAAAAGGAGCACGGTGCTGACACTTCACCACAGTCTGTTCCAACAGGAAATCCGTCCATGAGACACCCCCAGTAGTCAGTCACTACTTGACACTGACATTTTTATTCACAATCCTGTTACAGAAGAAAAGAGGGTTTTGATGTCATGTACTATTTCTTAAAGTTACCACACTGGCACAAAACACAAATTCACTATGGATTTTTGTGACTTGTACCCTTCTCAGAAACAGCTACTTCCTTGGAATCAAATAAGACAAAAATAGTTTACCTCTCATCACTGAATGAAGGCTGTAAATGCCACTAGTCAAGCTCTGCCTGGGCAGCTGCCTGCAGTCCCCAGGCTTTTAAGAGGGAGGCTGCTGGACAACGGGCTGCTCTGTTGAGTGCATCTGCACAGATTTCCATGCACCCACAGTTCCGTAACTGTGCATCTTCACAGTGCCCCTTTTCAAGCAGTCTGACCTACATGTGAGAAGCAGCAGTGATTTTCTTGGAAGTGAACTTCTTGGTAAAACTGAACGGTGCACTTTTATCTTTTTAAGAAATATCTCTGATGAAGTTAGTGAAGTTGACCTTTAATTCTGCTATGGAGAGCCCAATAATACACACTTACCAAAACGAAGCAAATAAAACAGCAAAATAGGTGAGGCTTCAATTTGAACAGCACATTCTAATTTAGGTGGGTGGCAGGGGAACAGTATCATTCCTTCTGGCAATCATACCTGTCCCACTTGAAGCCTCTATGCAGTTAATAACAAAGTTTCAGGAGTTACTTCATTATCTCCATCTGCTTGGTGTGCAAGACACTGAGGTAATGAACCAGTTTCAAGTACAGGTTAGTGCCAAGAGCTACGCAGTTCCCATTCTGGTTTGCTTTATTTTCAAACTGGCCACATGAAAGTGATGATGTAGCCTCCCAGAAAACAACTAAAGCCAGGTGTATTTCACCTGTGAACAGCCATTTTCAGGGGAGTTCTGGCTCAGCATCTGCTTTGAAAGGCAAGACTGTGTGGGCCCTGGCTCACACAGCAGAAAGGAGAGGCCGGCGCCTGTTCTCCCTGCGAGCATTTCCCTCCTGCACTTCCCCTGTTTTAACAACACCTGTGACCAGCCTGACAGAAACCAAGGCATGTGCAAGAGGGAGAAAACTGTTACCATGGAGCCCAGGAACACTGCACGCAGGGAAGGAGCAGCAGGTATAAATGTGAGGAGGGAAAAGCCTTAGCAAGCAAACAGATCTCTTGGAAAATGGGGAGGAGAGCTAGAGTGGATTGGGTGGCTGTTTATGAACCACTTTTGTGTTCAGCTCAGACAACACCATTCTCTGAGCACTGAGAGAGGATTAGAATCCATCTATATGATTCTTGCTCAGCTGTTTACTCCACCAGATGGGAAAATCTGCATCCAAACAGCAGAAACATGAGTATTATCAGTGCCTTATAAAAAGTCTCATCTCACAAGCTTAATTAGGCTTATTCCCACCACAAATAAATTCAGTACTTGATTTTATATGATTTGTCTTGTAGATGCAGCATTTCTGTTAACTTTTACACAGTATGACATACAAAGACAAGTGCTTGTGTTTTGTAGAGTGTTTTTAGAGATTATAGAAGTGTTGAGTGCCTTGAAATTTATGAACTAATCTCCATCCAAAAAATACTTCAGTAGTGTAGTCAAAAGGCTAGTCAAAAGTGGCTTCAAAATTCCCAGTTATCAAAAATCTCTACTTATGCAAAGCAAAGCCTTTCCAATGTATTACCTATTTTGACTGAAATATAGACCAAATCTTGAATATAAAATCTAACATTTTTCCATTTGAAACAGTGGGAGTTTATCAATATATTATTCCTCAGTGGCCTTGTAAGATTCAATGATTTTTAGGATGCTTCTATTCTACTGCTCTGCTGCTGTCTGTGGAACAGGAGAAAAAGATAAAATCAGGTAACTGGGAAAAAAAATCGTACCCATTCTTGTAACTTGACATACCTGTACATCCTCTTTAGCTTGATACTGAAATTATTAAAAAGCAGGCATTATATTTAATCAGAGCCATTGTGATTCAAGATTTAAAGGACATGTGTAGGTCACACTACTACAGAAGTATCACATTCTTTGGCAATGACGATTCTGATGCCTGCAAGGCAAACACCTATGTGTTGTTATAAGCGAAATTCACTTCAAAGAGGTCACTGACGTGTCCTCATACAGTAAAAGCTACCAGTCAGAATTAAAGTCTAACAAAGAAGTTCCCATTATCCAGCACCTGCATTGCTTGGTCTGCATTTACCTGATACAAAACGCAGTAACTGCAAACGCTTACTCATTTAAAAGAGAGAGGCCATCACACTGTGCTGATTCCAGCTATGCCACAGAACAGTACTCAGAGCTGACTATGCCAGCCCTCAGAAATGTGCATAACTGACAGCAAACAGAAAGAAGCTTGACTGACAAAGCTGTAGATTTGTAGATGATCTTAGGAGCATTAGTCCAGTCCAGAAGCATAGTTCACATAGCATCGAAATTCATTGGCTAAATTTCGTGAGTGTTTTGGAATAAACTTGCACATCTTCACACCAAGATGCTTTGCTGCCTGTTCCTCCATGACTGCACCTGCAGCAAAAATAATTGGTATTCAATAAGAAAAAACAGTAACAGAATGTTTGAACTTTTTGAATAGCTCCTCCCAAATGCATACTTAGAGAGCCTGGTGTTTTTTAAGGAAGGCAGGCTTAAGGCAACTACACTCTCAGCCTTCCTTAACAACAGAATCTGTTGGGAAACTTAAAGTAAATCTAGAAGAATGGAAGACATCCCAAAGAAATGAATGTCCGAGAAATTTAATAAAAATAAGTAGAAGGTAACAGTGCCATTTTTACAGAAACCAAACTTGAACTCAGTCTTCTTGCTACATTCCAAGGAAGTTAAATGGTAGGGAGCCGTGGGAAATGCAAACAGATTACATCTACTCTTTCACTTAGATAAACCATGAAGTGATATTTGCAGCTACACACTGAGAAATCACTGCTTTGAGCAGTAAACTGAAGGACCACCTATCCATTCTAGGGAAAAACGTCAAGGAGCAGGCTTTCCATGGCCACATTATTTTAATTTCCTTTATTTTGCCTGCTTGGTTGCCTTCCCTCAAATTGTACATACAGAGGGGTTTTGACCTTCACTTTTTGGAAAGGTTTCCTGGATGTCTTCAGATAACAATACAGTAATAACAAAACAGTTTAAGAAAAGCACCTTCCTAAAGAAGGACCCACAAGTACAGATATCTGGTTATCTGGTTTCTGCCTTTATCACTGCTTTTTAATTCCTCCTGCTGTATTTCAGTGCCTAAGACATAAACAATAAGTTGCACCTATGTTTGCCATTCCCAAACTTCAATCACTGCAATTATAGAGAGTGGCCCTTCTACAAGAAAAAATATATTTCTGGAATTTTCCTGGATAATCTTATAGTTCTTCAAAAATTTAGTAAAATTCATAATGCCATGGGAAAAAAGTACTGACTTGAACTATTGAAACCCACTTCTGTTTAAAATAAAGGTTGAACTCAAGTACTCAAATAAAAGGCTTAGAACACATATTCCTCCTTAAATTGATGATAATTCAGTATTATTGAGTTAGCATTTGTCTCACGTAAGTTTGTCATTAGAAAGAGAGAAAAAAGCTACTTAAGGGGACCTAATATTTTTATTAGTTATACCTGTGCAAAGCAGAATCTTTCCTTTTGTCAGGTATTTGATGGTCTCTGCAGTCTTTTGAAGACATTCCTCGGACAGATAGGGTGGATCTGCTATTACAATGTCAAAACTGTGTGGCAGGAGATTTTCAGGTAAGTCCAAAGGGTGGTTGTAATCATAGAAGATAAACTCTTCTCCATACACAGAAAACCTTCTGTCATACTCCAGTATACACACAGAAAAATCCTCACCATCCTGTTCTTTCAGTTTCTGGTACACACTCGGTGCACTAACACATGCTATCCTGAAAAAACACACAATAACTTAAAATTGTAATTTTAAAAGGCAAACAACAGCAACAAAACTCTACAGTCTTCTCAGCAGTCTTCAGAGAGGCTTTGGGAAAACATTTTAAACATTAGTCCCTAAAACATAAAATATTGTTCCTCCATTCTAACAATTAATTATCATAGTAACAAAATTTTAAGTATGAAAGTCATTACCTGTTCAACCACATGCTACATAAAGATCTTAAGCTAAACTACAGAGAAAGTCTTGTCTCAGAAAAGCAAGGAAATACACTCAAAAATGAAAAATTACTGTTTATAGAAGTAGGAAGAAAACCAAGTTTTTTCCATCTGTTCTACAGAAACATAATATAAAAACAAATTATAAGTCAATAGTGTGCTCTGAAGCACTTTGTATTTCTCAAAAAATTACAAAGATTCATAGTAAACTTTCACAAGGCACAGCCTACAACAAAATGTCAGCCTGTCAATGAAATGACAAAGGAAGATCAGTATAAACGATTAACTAAATAACATCAAAGCAGTTCTGCAGTATCTCAGTTGTACAAAACTGAAGTACAATGAGTAATGAACTAAACTGCATGCTCTTGTCAACATAGCAGAAACAAAATATTTGCAGAGGAGACATGTTAAATCTACAACACAATCATTAAACCTACCTGCCACCTTTTCCAGCTGCCAGAACTGCTTCCTTAGCCAGGCATGATGCAGTTTCATCACTGTACCAAAACTGGCTCAGTTGCTGAGAAAGATAATGCACAATTACAAACAACATCAAATCTTCTGGCTGTGCTATGCAGAGTTATGTGTGGTGAGCCATAACTCAAGAAATCCACAGCAACTTCTCAGTTCACAACCTGTAAAGCTGGAAAGGTGGCTGTTTTCCTGACAGCCTTCCTACTTCTGTAATTTAGTGATATGCAGCAGGTACCTTACACACTCTGTTTCCAAAACATGAACTGCAGTATCAGGAAAACCAAGAAATCCAAACCACTGACCGGGTATTTCAAAGCCAATGTGCAGATGCACATTATTTATGTGCTCTGAAATTGAGTTCCTTCAGCAGACGAGGAAAAAGGCCCTTGAAAAGTGACAGTATGGGAAGAAAGAAAAGGATAAGAAAACTAAATCAGAACGATCAGAAAAAGGAAGACCAAAAAAGCCAAACCCAGAGACAAATCAGAAATCAGTCTGTCACAAATAAAAAGAAGCAGCAAAACAGCCATCCATAAAAATAAAGAAATAAAACACACATACATTAAAAAAAAGTGAAAGGAAAGATCCCTTGGTCTTGTTACACTACGTTTGTCTCAGACTCAGGGAAGAGTCTTTACTACTATCACGTGCCAGGCTGGAGTTAAAATTTCTAGAAGGGACAGATGTTTCTGTTAGCAGCTTTATTCCCTCTCCCTGTATTTTCAGTTTGTACCCCCCATGCACATGTGGAACAAACAACTACATCCAGATTTAATATTAAGCAAACCTCCCTACAGTGTTGCCATCCATGAATAGCAACATCTTGAGTGTTCCCCTCTTTAATTTCATTTCATTACCCAGCCACAAAAGAAACTCGGTCAGGGCTACTCCTCTCTCTGTCGCTGTGCTTCACTCACTGAAATTTATAGTTTCTTACCCAGTCTTCTTCTATTGAGCCAATGGAATATTGATTAAACCCTTGGGAGGTCTTCATGCCCTCTCTCTGCTGCTGTTCCAAATAGAACTCCTGGAGGGCAGCCAATGTATGGGATGAAAGCTGGGGAATGTCATCATCATCGTCCATTTTCTTAGATGTCAACAAGAAAAAAGAAATTAATTGAATTAACCCATTTCAATTGTGAATGTTTTTACAAACAGCATAATCTTGTGAGGTTAAACAACTGCCAACAAGAATGCAGCTAACTAGGAAAACCTCCTAACAAAAGAAAACTTATTCCTTCTACTTAAGCGGTCTTAAATCAGTGAGAGGCCAATTGGAAATAACAAGTCTCCACAGAGAATTCAGGAAGAGCAGCAACACTGTTTCCTTTCTATACAACATGGATTTGGCTTATGTTCTTACGGGGAAGTTTACATTACAGCTTTTGGGTTCCTGTGGATCTGGAAAATCCTATAGAAATTATTCCCTTCCTTCCTAGAAATAATGATAGCTATTGGTCATTCCTTCCCATGTTCAAAAGCCACACCATTTTTACTCCAAATGAAGTAAACTAGCATTCCAGCTCAGCATCACCTGGTTTTAACCTCCATGCCATAAAAAGATTCCTCTAAATGGAAAAAAAAAACCTACAAGGGGAAAAAAAAAGGCAGCCAAGAAGCGCCAAGAAGACCCGGTATGTACCAATGGACAAGTACAGCCATTTCAGAAAGCTCCCGGAGCGGGTTCTGCCAGGCAGTATCCCCGAGCCCTCTGCCCCAGGCAGCACAGCCGCCTCTGCCCGGGAACGGCGCCACCGCGTGGAACGGAGGTGCCGGCAAGGACTCTGCACGTGAAAAGAACTGGGGAAAACGGAGAAAGATCTTATCTCAACAAACCACTTTCCCTGTTTCACACTCCTAATTCCCAAGGTCTCTGAGGCTCCAGCTGACCAATCCCAGCTTGCCCCAGGCCCTGGGTCCCTCCACATGCAGACCACGCTCTGACCTCACAGAGATGCTCTCTGGAAGCCACACAGGGGGAAATCAGATGTCCAAGAACAGCTCAAGAACACTCAAGAACCTGCGTAAGGTTTGGAAAATAAACTCATGGTGAAGTCAAAGGTCACCTGAAGGAAAACACCAGAAAAGGAGGTAAGCTCCCTCAGATAGAGTGGAACAGGAACAGGCAGGGTAAAATGGGAAATTTGTGTTCATAGGGTAAAATGGCAAATGTGAATGCTACTGGTCCCCAAAGGGCCAGATCTACCCACAAAACAGGAAAAATGAGAGATGAATTAATTACACCCTGTGGCCTGCAGTGCAGCAGGTGGGATGAAGCTCAATCTCTCTCTTACTAGCTGATGCACTGTTCAGGCAAATGTCGTCACTACAGAGTGAAAGCTCTCCAAAGAAAACAAAAATTAAATTAAGAGAGATAAGAGCAGCACAGGAGACTCCAAGGCCTTGTCCACACAACAATGTTGTATGTATTTAACAGTAGTTTCTGATGGTCATGTATGAAAAGTCTGTTTTTACATAGCCAAATTCTGAAACAGAGAAAAAAATACTCAAAAGAAACAGTATGGAAAAATTAACAGTCTTTGGTCCTCAGTACATTCATTTCACCTGTAGTTATGACCACATGGAGAACAGGTGATAAGAAAACATTAGGAAAGACTGCTAAAAGGCTATGGAATAGAAATACATCTGGAAAGCCATGCTGTTCATCACTGGGAAGGAGGAAGAAGAGTACAGTGTTAGTCCTTTAGATCTCTTACCAAGAATATAAAAAGCACATGTGAAAAGATCTTATTCTAAGAGTAACCTTGATCAAAAGACAGAGAGCACGAAATGGAGTTAAATCTAGTTGTCTGTGTTTTTTCCAAGCTGCCCAAGTCAGTCTTTGAGACAAGCAGTTCATCATGCACGGTGTTTGCAGCACACACCAAGAAATGCTGGCCAGTGGTGTGCAACCTAATGAAAATCACCTGGCAGGGGCTGCAACCACCTGCCTGGAGGTAGAGAAGTCCTGATCTGATACACTGGAAAGCTACTAAATGTCTGGACGTGTACCCTGATACCTCAAAAGCCGGAATTTCACAATGTGCCAGTCACACAGAAACTTCATAGAAGAGCAGCTCTCAGAGGATTACCAAATACGCAGAAAATACAATGGATTAACGAAGCAAAGTCAGGAGGCCTGATGACTACTTCAAGCAAAAGGAAATTACGATGTGTCCTACGGAGGACAGGCTCGGGATCACCGGTCCCTCCTACACGTGGCTGAGGGGACACGGACCGTTCCCGGAGGAGGCCCTTTCCAGCTGTCTCCTCCCCCGTGGATCGCTTCGAGGCCACTCTGCGGCCACACAGAATCCCCGTGGGGGGCAAGGGGTGATCCCAGCCAGCCCCTCCGCACCCCGGCCGCCATCGCCCGCAGGGTGCAGCGGGGTCAGGCGGTGAGGAGGCGGTGAGGGGGCGGTGGTGGGTGGGTGAGGGTGGATGAGGGGGCCGTGGTGAGTGGGTGAGGGTGGATGAGGGGGCTCCGCGCCGCCGCCCTCACGGCGGTCCCGGGCGGGCACGCGCGGGGGCTCCCGCCCGCACTCCCGCCCCGCGCGCGGCCCTCGCGCCACTCACCGCCCGCCGGCTCCCTCCGCGCGCGCGCAGCTCGCCCCAGGCCCCGCCCCCCGCGCGCGCCGCGCCGGCCGGGGACCGCGCGCCCCCTGCTGGCCGCGGCGGGCCTGGCGGAGCTCCCGGGCCCGCCCCCTCCGGCCCCGGCCCCGGCCCCGAGCGCGCCGGGGAATGGCGTCTGTGCGGGGATGTGGGACGGGAGAGGCGCGGGACAGAGCTGGGGTCCCAGACAGCCTACGGCACCGGCCTGGCAGACCCGGAGAGCACAGGCATCCCTCGAGTCAGACGGCAAGTGTTCAGGAGCCGCCAGTTCTGCCCTGCACCGCAGCCCAGCGCCCCAAACTGGTTTTCTACAGCTGAGTCTCCTGTCCAGGCTTTCCATTGCTATTCAGCATTAGCAGGCTGGAACGAGCTCCCTTTCTTGCATACAAACGGAAGTCGAGCCGATTCATAGATGCTTTCAAAACATACTGAGTTTTAAAATACCTTCCTTGTTTAACTTCATAAAATTATAGAATGGTTTGCATTGCAAGGGACTTTAAAGACCATCTAGTTTCAACCCCACTGCCATGGGCAGGAACACCTTCCGCTGTCCCAGGTTGCTTCAAGCCCCATCCAACCTGGCTTTGAACTCTTCCAGGGATGATCCACAGCTTCTCTGGGCAACCTGTTCCAGTGCCTCACCAGTATCACAGTAAAGAATTTCTTTCTAATATCTCATCTAAACATACTTGCTATCAGTTTGAAGTCATTCCCCCTTGTCCTGTCACTATATACGCATGTAAAAAGTTTCTCTCAATCGTTTTTTGTATGCTCCCTAGAAGTACTGAAAGACCACAGTTAGGTCACTTCAAATCCTTCTCTTTTCCAGGCTGAACAATCCCAATTCTCTTAACCTTCCCTCATGTGACAGGTAGTCCCTGCCTCTAATCCCTGGTGTCCCTCCCTGGACTTGCTCCAACGGGGCAATGTCCTTGTGCTGGGGACCCCAAAGGTGGAAGCAGTATTCCAGGTGGGGTCTCACTAAAGCAGAGGGGGAGAATTTAATCCACTATATCTTTCCCTTTGGTCATAAAAACTTCCCATTTTCCTGTTTCTCATGTGTAGGCACAACATGCTTATCTGGCACATCTCATGATCTCACTGCCCCAAGACAAAAAGCTCACCCATTTTTCTCATTATTTCTTTATAATGCCTCTGTCACTCAATGACTCACCTAGAATCCAACCCATAGGATGTTGTCCATCAGATTATTTAACCCAACAGCAGACTGTCCTCATGCTCTCCAGAGCCAGAATATCAGCAGTGAGCTGAGTAAGAAACTGTTTTACCTACAGCCTGCTCAGTCTTCATCTGCCACAGCATTTCACTGTGGCTGAACAGAAAGTCACAGGCTCAGCACTGGGCATTAATAAACAGAGCAGAACTACTGCTTTGGAAGACAGAAATACTAAATTAATGATAAAATATTTTGCAGCACAGCTTACATATGCAGCAGAGAATCAAATTTTCTTGCCACCCAGGATGTGGGAATTGGCCAATTTTTCCTTCAGATCCCCATATTTTTAACCTCCCTCATGTGGAAACAAGGTTTTTCATGACAGTAGAGAACTGGTTTTTTTTCAATTTTCATCACTGAGCATTCAGTGCATTACCCACTTTGTCTTTGGAAGTTCTTGCCAAAAAAAGTCTTCATCCCAGCACAGGAGACTGTCTCATACGGTGGATATCCATATCTATTCATGCTACCAGCACTGCTGTAATTTAAAACAAACAAACCAACCCCTTTTCCCTGCATTGTGGAAAGTGACAAGTCTTGATATTGATACCTGTGTAGCATTACTGAGGGCAGCAAGAAATTGGTTTAGGTACTACAGTGAAGTGACACTTCAGTAATTGTCCTATTTCATGCATGTTCGTAAGGTATTTCACATGAAAAACATTCTGCACAGGGCTGATAATGAAAGTGGAAATGAGACAGGGATGACACACACTCTCAGTCCAGATTTCCCAGAGCAGCAGACTGCCCCTTGGCAAGCAATCCCTCCTCACCAGAAAGGTTAGACGGATCACATAAGGGCACATGGCTGTCTGGGGGCTTGGGGGTGGGCTGACAGGGTGACATTATTTAGGTTATGATATCAGATACTACTTGGCAGCAAGCACAGCCCTTGCTTGAATCCTGTTACAAGACAGTTCTAGAAGCAAAGCCCCAAAGGAGCTCAAGTGACCCTGTAGGAAGGAATAAAAACAGGTTATCCCTGGCTGCAATTTGGGATGCGAGGACAAATGAAACATAAAACAGGAATACCTGTAAAGTGCATCTTGAAAGAAATTTCTTATTTATAATTGGGTTTTATTGTCCCGTAATATTTTTTGCAGATAGGTATTTCCAGTTAGGCTATCTCCCCTGTCCTTTCCCTGACAGACCCATGTCACACAGCAGTGATACTGGCGTCCTTGAGACAAACCTGATGACATAGATCACTGCCTCTTCACTAATGCATTTGCTAGATCAGAAACAGTGTTTAAAAACACAGTTCTAGCCTGGAAAGCAATAGCAACTTGTTACTCACAAGGCATTTCTGTTTTGGGGTTTGAGTTTTTATTTTTACTGTGTTGCATTTTTTCTCTACTAATGAAATTCCAGTTTTGTTCTCACTGTAGCACAACCCGCAGTCATATGAAAAAGTATAATCAGGTTTAATTAATATAAAAATAGATTATTAAATTCTACTTGCAGAATCTTTCCTATTGCCATTAAGCCTAAAAAAACTTCTATTAACTTATTTACAAAAAAGCCCAAAAACCCCCACAAAAAAAACCCCTCAACATATTTAGGGCTGGCAAACCAACTGCACATTGATTTGGAAGGCAGCGAATGCTTTACAACCATACAAGGATAATTTTTAGTTATTAATGATAATGGAAAACAGCAAAGTGAAAATATTCTACTTAGAAAACAACCTGCAACACCCCCTCTTTCTAAGCAAAGCTTGCTGCACATTTACTTTCACTCCCAAGCTGTTCCCACTACAGATGAAGAAACAAATGTGTGTGGGGCCCCATGGGGTACCTGTGGGCCAGGTGCAGCACAGCTTCCTAAGACCCTGTGGCAGAATGGAAGGACAGACTGCCACTCAGCCTCTTCAAAGCTTGCAGCCACTCTACGAATTCAAATACACAAGTAAGCTTTAATATTTAAGTAGTTCAGGAGTCCCAGCTCTTTCTCTATGGAGACAGAAATCTTAGAAACATGACAGTGATACAGGATCCCTGTGACTTCTTTCTATTTTGCCAGGCTTTGTGCATTCCTTGGAAGTAATTCAGGATCCACAGAGGGCCACAGCTTTCAGACAGAAAAATGCTCTACATAAGTGACCACTAGTCACTTAATACCACCTAGTGGTATTGGCATTTCAAACAGACTTTACAAGTATTTG